GGCTCGATGACACAGTTTTTGGCATCTAAGAGCACTACTTCAAACTCCAAATTGGAATCGAAAAAATCGTCATCGATAATCTCCACCTCTCGTTCCGACACGTCAAACTCGTAGCTGCAACAACAAACTAACTTCTTTGACTATATGCTCGCCGGACAAGCAGACGGCTGTTGTTGGGGTGGAGAACTTTTTGGGCCTCGTTTTGTTTTTAGCCCTTTTTTTTGTGGTGCTGGGTCTCGCAGCACACCCTACGAATCATAGTTATCTAAATACCTCGCGCTTACAACAAGGACGCTTAATTTGACAACGGCCCCTAAATTATGAGAAACATCTTCGACAGGGAGCTGCCTTGGCATCGGATTGCAAGCTGCAAGGAGGCCAGCGTCGCCCAGTGTGCGGCCCGCTCCTCTTCGCCAGATCGATCCCGAACTCTTCGTGCCCATGCAAAAGCTAGACTCTAGACTGTCTTTGCCACGGCCCGATGTGGGTAGAGCTGTGGCAAGACCCATGTCCACCATGGACCGATGCCGAAGACTTTGTCGCAGCTGGTCTTCGTGCTGGCTGAGGTGCCTCGGCAAAAGCGCAAACACTTGGCTCACACGGCTGTGTGATTGGGAACAGCTTGGAGCAGTGGAGAAGGTTGGACTTTGCGCTCGGAACCTGCTCCCTGATCCTGACTTCTAGCGGATTCTAGCGGCTCTAGACGGCTTGCTATAAGGGAGGGGGCCCCTTGCAACGGCAAAATGCAGGAATTTCCTGTCGGGCGGCCCGATCCTCGCTTTCGACCCTGGAGCCTGCTGATGGTGGTTTCACCAGACCGGAGAAGTCGGATCTGCTTGGCGAGGAGCGAGCCCGTCATGGAGAAGACGGTGCAGCAAAGGAGAAGCAAGACACTGGCCTCATGCGACTTAGGGTTTAGGGTTTAGGGTTTAGGGCATGATCCCATCTTAGTTACTTGGTACTTCTACCGAAGAAAAGGATTCTCCGAAGCCAAAAGGTCACAAAAGTCAGATTGGCAGATGCCGCTGCAGCCAGGCAGCAGCATGTAGATGCACACCTGCGTAGGAGTGCTCCACTAGTCTCGTAATGTAGACAGGCAGGGTCCGTTCTGACAGCGGCGGGAGCTTTGCGATGATGTCATTCACGTTCTGAGTGATGTCATCCATGTGGTCCAAACAATAGGTAGCTGTGACAGCCAGCACATATGATACGGAGACCGTCGACCAGAACAGGAACACCACGAAGCTCCGCCGATTTCCCCTCCCCACGCAATTGCCAATGAAAGGGCAGTGATGATCCATGTCATAGACGCACTGCCGGCAGATTCTGCAATGATGGCTGCCAGGCGGCTTGCCTTTGCCACAGGCCTTGCAAAATCGGTAGCCCTCCAGCGCACCGGGGCCAATGTTGCCCAAACGCTGCACGGCCACGAAGCCAGGATCTCTCAGGACAGACTGCCTTAACCCACCAGAACCTACCTTTTTGTAGGGTCCCTATAAATTCCATATTAGGGTTTATCATAGGAACCTACAAAAAAGTCGGTTTTGGTAGGCTAAGGCTAAGGTGCGCGTAGTTCAGGAGGGTGTTGGTCCACAGCCAGATACAGGAAAGCCAGTGAAGGAAGAAGGCCAACCTGGCGGGGCTTCATCACCACCACTCCGACATGGTTAGTATGTTATAGTATAGTATATAATATTATATAATCTTATACATCATATTATATATTATCATATTACCTTATATTATATTACGTATATATATATATATATGTAGACAGTCTAACAAGTCATATGAGGAGTGTTGCCAGTCCCCAAAAGAGCAGACTCTCTAAGCCTGCACCGGGTGAAAACCTCCTCAACGACCGACAAACCTTCGAGCATCAGAAGCTATCAGGGAGGGTGAGTGTGAACCTGAAACCTGCAGTCACTTCAAAAGATCATCTCATACTGCAAGCAGACACCTACCCAAACCAACCTACTCCCTTAGGAATGCAGAGTTCACATGCTGACTCTCAACCTTGAGGCGCTACCCAGAAAGTCTGGGTAGATGTAGAACACGCCCAGCACAGAAATGGTATTGATCGCGGCCAAGACGAAGAGGACCATGAAGAAGCTCCAAATTCGGCGGACAACTGGAACAGACACGAGGTCCGAAATTGCGAAGACCATCCGCAACAGTGCCGGCCTCGTGTCCCCTCGCCGGAAGTCGTTCAAGGCACCACAGAAGCTGCACTTTACCTCCTCCAGATGTCCGTCCAGGCCCCTTCCACAGGCCCAACACCTGAAGACTTGGCCCCGTGTCTCGATGAAGGGCGCTTCGGACTCGGGGTCCTCCGAAGAGCCTCCGACGTGAGCCATCGCAAGTCCCTGTAAAGAGCAGTAGATACTTGGAGGACCATGGGACTTAGTAAGTAAGGTTATAAGTCCCCTAATTGGGGTTACAAGTATAGTTACCTCAGTTATAACCCTACTTACTAAGTCCCATGATCCTTTAAGTACTCGTAACCAGAAATCTTTTGAGGACTTAGTCAGACTGGCCGGGTTGCTAGATGACTTGATCGGCCCGGTATGATTTTTCTTTTTATGGATGTGAGCACATGTACATCTACAAGTTATACATGCAAATTACACAGACACATACACCGATACGCGATGCGGCTAGACGCTCGGCTCTTGAGAAGAAGAACCAAACTTATCGGCAAATTTGGGCACCACGAGTTGCTTCGGAGGAAAATGACCATCTGCCTCACCTCAAGAAAGAGCTGTTGTGGACCCGGCACCTGCCCATGCAAACTTTCTCCCTATGCAGAACACGGCGAGTTTAAATAATCAAGTCAGGCTGTTGCAGACACACTTGTGGTAAGAGTCGTGGCAAGTCGCACAAGAAAGGTGTCATTCTCCTGCCCGTCGTGGCCAAACAAGGCTGCAGTCTCTTGGAGACATAGCCCGCACAAAACTGAAAGAGATCGTCATCTGAAAATTCTGTTACGGAGGGTACCCGAACTTTCCAAACAATAAAGATTCGTGGGGATTTCCAACGATCGGAACCCGATCATCTTGAAATTTCTGAAGGGCTCCTAGCTCTTGGAAACTCCCAGTGGCTAACGTGGCCCACGTCCTGCGATCACAGGAATGGGCTTTCTGGGATACACCCAGCGGCTGCATTTTTTGCGCCAGCAAGGAGCGTCCGTGAAACGAATTTCCGAGGCGCAAGCCTGGGCAAAGAGAGTCGAAACCCTAAACCCCAGACCCCAAAACCCTGAACCCCAAACCCTAAACCCTGCAACCCCGAACCCTAAACCCTTGCCCCCCCCCTTTTTCTTACAGGACCGAGGAGATCCGACCCGGGCCCGGCCTTATTCAAGAACAGGGTTTGGACGCGCCCGACCTCTGAATGACCTCCGCAACGCTCCAGGCTCTATCTATCTATCTATCTATCTATCTATCTGTCTGACTATCTGTCTATCTGCCTATCTATCTATCTATCTACCTACATCTATCTATCTATCTATCTATCTATCTATCTATCTATCTACATCTATCTATCTATCTACATCTATCTATCTATCTATCTATCTATCTATCTATCTACATCTACATCTACCTATCTACATCTATCTATGTGTATATTTATTATATATGTACATATCGCCGCACCTATATATATATATATGTGTGTATATATATATATATATATTTGAATAAGACAGAAAAAGGGTTTAGGGTTTGATGGCACACAGTCGAAGTGCCGGTGACGCGCCTCCTGGCGGCCTCAAGCTGCAAGAGGCGCAGGTCCGCAGCGATTCGGGCGGCCTCGTAGGGTTTAGGGTTTAGGGTTGAGGGCTTAGGGTTAGAACATACCCTAAACCCTAAACCCTCATACTATAAGTTATACTATACATTATACTACCAAATTATCTTATAAGATTACTACAAGTTATACTACAAGATATGCTAACAGATATACTATAAGATTACGATATGAAATATTATAAGATATGCTAAGAGATATACGACTATAAGTTTACTATAAGAGATACGAAAGGATAACTAAAAGATACATTATGAGACATACCATACATCTTACTATAAGGTACAGAATTTGTAGTAGCATCCTCTAACATGCCGTAATGTAAATGTAGTCTATTGTGATAGCCCCTTCACACGTCCGCTGCCTCCTCAGTTTGACTGGGCTGATAGCCTGCAGGTTTCAGAAGACTGTGGAACCAACTCATAGGCCTCAGAGTTTTCGCTGGCGCCTCCAACAAATGGGCTGGTCACCACGGCCTGCGAACAAGCTTGTTATATAATCAACATGTATAGATGTAGTTGATTGTGATTGCTGTATTTACTTGTCCATGTGCATCTTGACTACTATTCATGTGTTCCCTTTGCTTTTCTATACCCCTCTTGCACCCCCTTTCAGTCTAGGATCCCAGAAGCATCTCCGACTCACGGAAGCGCTTAAACCCTAAACCCTAAACCCTAAACCCCAAACCCTAAACCCTAAACCCTAAACCCTCAACCCTAAACCCTAAACCGGGGCACTGAGCTTGCCTTTGGCTCCGCCTCCACGACTCTTCCCTCCGAGACCTGCGAGGCCGAGAACGGATTTAGCGCTTAGGGTTTAGGATTGGTTTAAGGTTTAGGGCTTTGGGT